GAAGCCTAAATAAACGAGTGCCACAACCACAGCGGGATAACATAGCCAAACAGGTAGCACTTCTTTAAATAAAGTACGTGTCTGAACTAACGTCAAGATTGCTACGACCACATGGAATCTTGCTAGCCCACAAACTAACTGGTACTTTGAGAAGATTGCTTTCAAGACCGAAAGACAAAGTCAAACAAAGCAGTCAGAATGATGTCATCTACGTAATTAACTACAAAGGGTATGACAAACACTACATCGGGCAAAGTGGAAAGAAACTCTCACCACGGATCAACGAACACATAATGGTCCTCCGGAGACACGACCCGTATTCACTGGTTTCCTTGCCTGAAGACCAAGAAGGCCACCACTTCAACTTAGAGAACGTAAAGATCTTAGCCCATGGAAATTCGAAGTAGGCTAAACAGTGATTGGAAGCATGATATTCTACAGACAATTCAGTAGACCGACGCGTTGAAATAGACGCTATGTATGTAGCGCTACGGTTGAAAGATCACCGAAATAGTGGATAAATCTAACGGAACAGAACGCCGGACAAATGCGTCGAACGACGACAACAACCTAAGAGACACGCGCGCGTACGCTACGACGCAAGGATCAGAGATCGATGTTGAGGGTCATGTGCCCGTCGAACCATCCAAAGTCAGACTGACGGCTAGAAGATGGACCACTCACACTTACTGATGCTTCGTACGGCGCCGTTCTGCCACCTAAACGCGCAGTCGAGTGGCAACGAAAAGTTTGCAACCAAAATGCCGAGCTCAGCGAACACTCAGACCACCAAATTCATCTTCGTTTATTTGGCGTGTTCTCATCTGAATACCGACAGCTTCGCGGAGATCTCATGCTCGCACATTAGCTAATAGCGGAAAACATTCGTGCGTATAAGTCACTGCTGAAGTTAGCCCTCTAAAATCAATGCTAGGCTACTATTAGAAACCAGGAACTGAACAAAACAGTTTAGAAAACAGAAAATACCTTTACTCTTTCAGCATCTATTCACATTGAAATGCATAGCCAGCACATTTGGTGAGCGCAACAAACATCGTACTTTTGTAAGTCTACCTGACTTGTATCCGACTGATAAACGCCACGACAGTATCAGCAAGTGCAATTTTTGTCATTTCCACGGCAGCTTAGTCCATAGCGCGATGAGATAATGCCGCAGAGATTTCAAATCATTCTGCTACACTTACACGTTGGTCCGTCCTTGCCTCGACCATGGTTACCGCGCATACCGCCGCGTAGCTGTCTCATTCATTAGGCGATGTAAGTCAGTAGGATGTCGAGTATAATTACAGAGCAAAATGTAGGCATGTATGGTGCAAAGCGGCGCCGGACTCACATGTCTGCGAGCCTCTCGTCACCCAAGCGATGACGGATTGCGTGATGAGGAGGAGAATAGCGACGCGTTAAGTCACAAGTTGCGGGGCATAATAAAGTTAGGGTTGATGTAAGACAAGAAGATGAAACATGTCCTACATTTTCCCTTAACATAGCCTGTCGGTGGAAGGAGCGGCTATGGATTCGCATTCTATCACGGCCAGCAGTCGGTGTCCCTGCACCAAAGTTACCAGGTCCTTGTCTATGCAAGTATTTACACGCGCCGGCCAACAAGACTAAAACAAGCTGCTTATTGTGTCGGGAGGTTACAGTTGGCTTTGCTCAAACAGCTAAATGGCACGTATCCAAGTACACGCAGATAACTTAATTGATGCGATGACCGTAGAGCACGAAGCTTCCTGACCTAATGAGCTTGCGATTGGCTACGTAGCAAACTGGACATTAAGACTTTAACGCGGCTACATTTAGAACTGTCTTAGTGCGTTGGTGTGACATTTACAATGAAAAATAAGTCAGCATGGGGAATAACGCGAGTGCTTAATAAGTCCCGTATTTGATTACATGATTACTCATACCTGTAGCGGTTATCGGTTGATGTAGTATGAGGACGCATTTATAATGCAATACGTAGCTACAAGTGGAATCCCAACGAAGGAGGCAGGTAACACAATGCCTAGATGCAACGTCTATCATCGTGATCTCAGAACTCTACTCAAGGACGTGGTGGGTGCGTAGCCTGACAGCGGGCTTCATGGATGCGGTAAATCTGCTCCCCACCATGGGTCTACGTTCCGGTCCCTGAGGAAGTATGTAGTTCAGAACTTTCATGTTTTGCTGATGTCGCATTTCAATCTACACGTATGTTTGCAGTTATCCTGTGAGCATCTTTCCAAAGGAATATTTGTAAGTAAACGCAATGTGCGAGATAACTTTTAAAGCCAACTTGTCGAGAGTAAGATGGCCTCTGTGACATCATGAAAGAATAAGGTTACTCAAAGAAATCTATCTTGACGTAATGCATAGACTTGAAGAGGGACGCTGTCATACGTGGTGGTGGCAACCCAATTCCCAATTGCGTAGCAAACCGATACACACAAGTAACTATATTACTTCAGCGTACCGCCTGTCTTACTTGGGCTCCGTGATTCGCTCTGGTAACAAGTGGTCTGAGATAACTTACTGCTGTTGTTTTGGGCTGTTTGCTTGAGTGCGACGTCGTTGACCATGTATTTAGTAATGGAGCTATGGAACAGCGGTTTACGAAGGGTATAAAAGCGAATGCTTGCCAAGTCCAGTGGAACGGGTAGGGTGAAACTTACAAGCTAATAAAATGGCATCAGTAAAAGAACGCGCAAGCTACATTACTCATCAAGAGATTTGGATTAGCACAGGTGTAATTATTTCTGCCTGAAATTTTTAAAGTATTCTGACGCTGTCGAACGTTTGTTCCGCACTTATGCCAACAGCTGATGGTCATAGGCCATATCACACAGTGTCCATGCGTCAAGCCGCCTCAAAAGCGATTTGGTATACAGTGAAGTTGGGGAGATTTATTACCTGCGCTAGGAAAGTGTTCCATGGCTGAGATGCTCGGAGGAATAATTGGTTTCGTCGACATTCTAGTCGGCTGCACTGCATGACCAAATTCAACTAACGACCATTCAGAGAGGTGCTTTATTTGACTTTTAAAAGAGAGTGGCATGTGCGCTTGGGGTTTCTTAGAATCTGAGACACCATTATGAGATATCCCTTTGGGACAAACCTCTGGCGCTCTTCGACACCCTAAGCTGTCCAGTATTTAACGCGGTGAGGTGGTGCTGCTCTCAGGGTGGTCCCGTTTGGATAGCGTGATTCACTTCAATGTGAATCGCGGCTTACATTGAGATTGCACGTCACAATCCAATCATACAACATGTACTTCAAAATGGCCTACAATCCCCGGTAATTTATTTAAGATATTCTGAGTAGCAATTGTACTAGAGCACTAGTGTCTTATGATCACTGCGGTCCAAAGGAGTGCACTTTGTTGCTATGTCGATCACCAGTTCCTCGTTCTTAAGATCACGGTTCAAGATAGCCAATTTTTTTCGGTCCTGCAAAGCGTTGGAGAAGTGACATGGTTGTATAGCTGTGAATCAGTCATTAACTCCTACCGTTCCGCCTTGAATTGCTCACCGGGAGTGGCCAGGGTTGTTAAGTCGTGAAAATTGAAGTCCTGTCGGTATATTTTCATCACAAGTTCGCTTCTACGGCTCACCATGTCACAACCGCCTTGCAAGTAGTCCAACAAGTAAATACAAACGGCACAGCGGACTCTGAATCCCGATGAACCCACTGACGGCATTAAAATGCACACTCATTTTCGCTCTGCACCATCTTGCTCTCTAAAATTTGACTCGCATCATGTTCCGTATCGTAGGCTTACTTTATTCGACCTTCAAACGAAAGCTGTTTAGCACCCCGCAAACTAACTCGTTTATTTTAGGTACCATTTTGCTATTGCTCGATTGTACAATCTTCGTCCTAATTTCCCTGTTGCACCATCATTTCTCTCCTGCTCGGTGAGTTGCTATGCTAATTCCGCTTCTGTTCGCTTCATCTGTTCCCTTTTCTTTACCATCCACTACGTTCGACTTCAGGTACCTTCTGATGCTCGTGCTCAACTATATACACTGGGCCGAACTGGGATTCATTAGTTCTATATAACAGGCATAAAGTTGTGTTCATGCGGTGATGGATTAGACATCTTCACACCACATGGAACGTAGGAGTGCAGATGAACACTTTTGGGGAAATACTCTGCATGCAACCAGATCGTATATTTAGCAGTCGAGCTTTCCGAAGTTTATTTGTGTCTGTTGAGCAAAAGACTCCAAATAAAATACCATTTTCCTGTACGTTCAGAAGACGGGGCGCGGTGTTGTTGCTTCTGTTTGAATCGAGCACCAGTTTTTGTTCGGCGCCTCAATTACTCCCTATCTAACAAACGCGAAGTGTGCTGCTTCCCTACGTACTCCTAGTACGTAACGTTCATCGGTAGCGTTTTGGAACTTAAAATCCGGAGACTACTCTTATAGCAATTTACGCTTCGCAGGATCCGTTTTCTAGAACTGTTATTCACGTTCCGGCTAAACCAGGTGACCATTTTTCGGATGGCTATATTACTTCAGTTAAAAGTTTGGCTCGATTCTTAGGTGTGCTTGACTAAACGATCGCCAAGAAAACTCATGTCGGAGTCAACTCGGACAACGCATTCAATTATCTATCATTGCAATCGCACTATACAAATGGGTCAGAGCATCTGGTTGAACAGTACCTTACACTGCCATGGGAAATGCGATTCATTTACGTATCCGTTTACTACTGGATGTCCAGTAACCGCGACTTAAGCCCATTCTTCTGTTCTGCTCAATGGGATTACTTTAAGTTATTACCTTGCTATTACATCTGATGCGTGAAACTCCCACTAATCACTCTAATCAACGATTCGATGAATATGGTCGCTGACTATATATAATGGTCCACTGGATTGTAACATAAAGATAAATATTAAGACTTTGGTTACGGAAGATACTCAAATACAAGAGATAAATTCATTCCGGCACGTCAGCACATGAAGTAATATAATTATTGTCCTAAACAATAAAGTTAATTACATAAAATCGTCTTCTGAATCTCTTTCTCTTTCCCGTTCTCTATCAGAAAAGGAATCCAGGTGTTTTGAACGTGCAACGTACAGGTAAACCGAGCCTCTGTCAGCTACCTTAGGACCATTTCGTGAGCTGTTATCGATGAAGGTGACGTTTTTGATAATCTCTTCTTTGGCCGGTTTGGCGGATACTGAACGAAGGTAGCTAATGGGGTGGTTACATTCTTTTTCGCTAATTGGAGGTGACAAAATCAGAGAGTTCTGCGCTGTTGGTGAAGCACCCTCCATTAAGCGAGACCGAGGTATGAAGAAATCGGGAGAAGACAGGGTTCGGCCTGGAGCGGCGAACTGGTTTCTAGAATACGGGCGTGGCTTTATTTCCTTCCAAATTTCCAAAGGTCTATGCAAACGTCCAGTGGAAGTCGACTTTCTTCCTTCTGTAAAGGTTGTCTGTGCTGAGTGTACAGTCAGTGGCTGGTGACTATCTTCGGAGTCCTCCAACACGTTCCCATGTCTCGTTTGAGTGTAATCATCGTTTGTCGTGCACATAGCTGCGGGCAAGTTTGGTTCAGGGACGAACGGGTAAGTATTCCCAAAACGGCCGTTAGATTGGTGGCTAGACTCGGATTTGTTCACTGAACTGCGGCAGAGCAAGAATGCTGGATTAGTTATTGCACTGCGGATCAACTCATAAATACAATCGAGGTCCTCTACCGAAACACACATGTAGGAATTATAGCTTCTTCTTCTTGAATACTCTTCCTCAACACAAAACATAAACACAGTGGGATGGGAAACGAACCGGTAAAAGTGCCTGATTTCGCGATAACACAAGTATTCACGATGTGATGACCAACGAAATCCCGAAGCCTTGCCATAGCGTATCCGATCTATCAGGAAATAGAGAACCTCGAGTTTCTTCTTCTTTTTCAAGTGTTTGTCTAAAAGACTGGCAGCTGTGCACTCAGTAAAAATCTCATCTCCTCCAAGTACCCTGCTACCTAAAGTGTGCACTTGGAATTCATGGAGTAATAATTGTCTTGACCGAGCATCCACGATCTGATTTCCTTCTACTGGATATTTCTGAACCTTACGGTTTCTCGAACAGCTTCTGGCTCTCTGCATATTGTCTCTTTTCGTCATTAGACACAATCCACATGTTACTATGACTGGAGGGCGAAATCGATTGTTGACCTTGAAAGGGCCAATCCGAACTAGGGGTGACTGCGAATCACCAATGATCTCAGCATTCAATGCTGAGGTCATGTACATGCAGCCCTACGCATAACCCTATGGCTGGCTACGTGTTAATGAAACTAAAGCGGGTTCATTTGGAATCAGCCTTTTTCCATTAACTGGTCATAAATGCAGTTGCAATAATTTCCACTTGGGAAAAGCATGCCAGATGTGGCGTTCTACTTGGACAGAGTAGAATGCCACATTTAGCAGAGTTGGGATGACCATCATTTTGATACGATTTGAATCTACCCCAGTTGGTGTAGTGAACCTGATGCAGTTACTCTTTCAGTAGTTTGCAAAGCTGGATTTCATTGGTCCTTGTACCTTCTAATCGTTCATTTGCTTTACTGCTTGTAACCACATGCTTTGCCTGTGAGTCGCGCACTACGATGCCTCCACCCGTGGTCATTTACATTCCATCCCTAGTACCTCTCTGAAATACGGGTCGGGTGAGACTGCTTTTACACTTCTGAATGTTTGCTGTTCGCTGAGATTATTACTGGGTGTCATCTGCTTGTAGTGTTCCAGCTGCACTCCACAACAGTAACTGGTGAAAGACCTCTCGCTCCGAGGCCATTTTAGGAGTAAAATGAGATTCCGGAGTGCGCAGTGATCCAGACTTTGTCGCCGTGCCATCCAAAACAAACACTTACTGATTATGTGCTTACGGTTATCACAGCAAGTCTCAAAGCGGATAAACCATATCTATGCTGAAATTTCGTAGAGTGAATCTTTTACTACATGACCTAACCTAACAGATAAAGGCCCCATGTTAAAAATATAGCCCAGGTAGTTCATAATCGCACGCAAATACCTGGGCCTGGCAAAAACATCTCGCAATGCTTTGGCCAATATACTTACCACACAGTTCAAAAGACGTCACTTTTTCTATCATCTCATCGTAAATATGTTGGGAAGGAATCAAAGTCAGTGGCGTTGGTGCCCTAAGCAAATAAACTGTTCCATGGAGTTTTACACCCAGGCTCTCCGGATAGTCTTGAAGCAGTACTTGTTATTTTGGAGGCAGATATTAAACACAAAGGCCTTCAGGGTATTTTAGGTTATTGACTCATTGTTTCAGGATATTGGAAGATAACTCACCAGAAGCAATGCAACAGAAGAATGCTCAACCTTGTATGCATCCACGTTGTGCCACATGGTTGGAACCTTTGTTCAAAATTTGCAACTTCTGTATGCTGGAGATTTTTAAAATCATGACCGGGGTATTCGATGGTTCAGTAGCCTTTCTTCGACTAAATGCCATAGAAGCCGGCTGAACAAGCGTTGCTTAACTTTGAGCTCAGTGGTGTTGATCACGGAGAAGTCGAAGCACCCAGTTGCAGTTTACTTAACTGCTTCTGTCTGCGAGTGCAGACCAACAACATGTGGTTACGGATTCAGGTAGCACTGATCGGCATAATAATAAACAAATGAAACATTACGCTCACTATTTCGGAAACCCATCAGCAGATTAGGCGCTAATACGCGTTAAATTTTCGGGTAACTGACTTTATCTAAAACTTTTGCTCCCGGTATTCTGGTTGGAGAATGTGAAAACCAAGGATGGGTTTACAGCGTCGCCATTTTGTTAGATGTTCAAACTTTTCTCGCTATTCCGAATTAAACATCCAAAATTCTCCGCAATACTTCTAAATCAGCCGCAAAAATCAGAAGTCCAACGAGAACCAAGAAAAACGTGTTAATCAAACACCGCCAACATGCGGTATAACTGCCTCAGACCCTCGGCAAATGGATAGGTCACTTAACGGCCTACGACTACGAGAAAACGAATGTCAACTGGTAACATTAGCAGCTTCCTTGCCGACACCGTGTGTTGACAGTCACGTGAAGGGATGGAAGTTCCCGGAATCTTTGAAAGCAATGCACAATCGAAGCTCGTGGAGTAATTTTTAAAATAACGGGTTTTCCTTGATGTTGTTATCTTATCCAGGATACGTTCGAACATAGTTCGCATATTCCTGATGTGTGAATCCTAAGCGATACACTTTTGTGCGCTGAGAAAGGTCGTATCGAATCCGCCTTCGGCTCGCCTAACACTACGTCCTAGCAGGAACCCAATAATGCATCATTCTGGTTGTCCAGCTATTTGGTTATGCTTCGTCATCAAGCCATTAAAGCAACTACTAACATACAGCAGTGTTGCTCTATTGCGGTTACATCCACTTTATCATACTTATTAGTGAAATCCTGATCTGGATGCGCCTGCCCCTTTTATTGCGAACAGCCAAGGAATGTTAGTAAGAGCGACAGAGTTAGCGGTTTTAGACGCGTCCCAATTTACGTTTATCCAGCGAAGCTCAGAGCTACGTTTGTGTCCATGAAACCAGGCCTGTGTATGAGATTTTTCATCTATTCCGTCCAAAAGCGTTGATCAGTAACATAAAGATGCGTCATTATAAGTTCCTTGGGCTACGGATTTAGAACATCCTACCATCTTTCGGCTAGTTGCAACCATATCGTGACTGTCTCAAACACAAAGATGTTTACGGGAAGGAATAACCAACCCTTTGCTGTTTCAAAGGCCGGTGAATTGTCTACATTCAAGTCAAAGGTAACATATAGATCAGTAAACCAATACTGCATACTGAGGCCACAATATCAAGAAACGCTGTAACGACGTTTAAAAATGCGATGGAATGAAGCGCTTCATAAGGCTTGATGAAAACTCAGGTAATACTGATTATCTAATCCTTACGTTATGTGGCATACATCACGTGGAATCGTTGCGATGTACACGAGAGAGAGAGCAAACGGAAAGTACCTAACTAGGACGGCTGATGCATGCTAAGATAAAAATGAAGTCAACTTACTGCCCCTAATGTTGCCAGAAGAACATTTTACTCCAAGATATGAGGGAAAGAGGAACTAATCGGAGACATCTTGAGGCGTATGCTGAAATACTTGGACGATGTTGTCTTTTCCTATGCAAATCAGTCGGGGAAATGGTGAAGAAGGTGGATGCAACGGAGTCTTCATTGGCTTTCTAGAAAACTTTAACGGCCAGCTTTCTTTAGTAGTTGGAGTAGCACGCTGAGAAGATGAACAAGTGTAGATGCGCCTATTTATTATTAACCCAGTAGTACAACTGCAATGACGAGAAATGATTTATGTACCATTCTATGCGTGTTACCAGACCAATCGAATGTAACGACTTAACGGCGTGGTTGCTCCAAGGATGAGTGCAACGGAAAGACAACGGCTGCTTCTGTTTGCACAAACACGTCCCAGTCGAACCACGAGAAATGCAAATCCGAAACACCGTGTCAAGTTTATTAGGTGACTGATCACCGAAGTGTGCTTGCTTATTGATGACGCCCCCAGCTTAAATGTGCGCGGTATATTGCAAGAGGGCTGGTTGGCCTCCCACTGAACCCGGTTTGGCACGTGTTTCTTAAAACGGAATACAAAACCCTGTAGGTTCTGCTAATGCAATGGACACCGCAGTTTCACACAAACTGGTAAACACAATTCTGTGTTTCACCCCAACTCAGGCTATCGCCACCTGATGGGACCAAACCAGGACGAAACCGTGGTTGTGGTGTTCCAGTGTTGGCAGGGGCAACTCCCACATATTTCTACTTTGGTAAACACATGTGAATTGGTGCCGATGGGTTCCGCTTCATCTGCTGTAGGTAGAGACAGCTGGCGATTCCTGGTTTTCACTACTGCATCCGCGGTCCAGTAGGTTTTCCAAATGGCGGAGGTTACTAGCCTGGTTCTCCTGATTGTGGCGACGTTACACTTAAATGGGGTTTTAGGCAAAGTTTTAACTTGGATGCTGTCAACATGGTTTCCGTCGGCGGTCTGCCCTGGCAGTGTTCCTTGTTGAAACGCCTAGGCTAGCCGTTTTCTATGTGTGGATTACCTTCCGTCGGTATACAAGGTCAACGCCATGACTGCTATGTACGAACAAACCAACGCCGTCTAACACCAACCTCAGGCTTTTTGAGACAGTTTGAAAAGTAATTCTAAGGTGCCAGTCAACATCTCGGACTGCCACAGATAGCTTACGGAAATTCCGAACCATCAATCGTCCCGTAAATATTGAACGCCTATATGAGGCCCCAAGTGGAATATGCGATCCAGGCTTGGCGTCCCTTGCGTCCCTCGACGCACTTAAAGCTTCCCAACATAGAGGGACCAAACTAGTTAGAGCATTGTTTCACCTCCTACCAGCGCAGACTGCAGGCCCTGAAATTGTACAGTGAGGAATATCAACCTCAGCAAGTAGCTCTCATCATGGCTTGTATGTTACTGACGATAACAATACCTTGGAAAAAATATCAAACCGACCGGATTCCTTATTTTTCAAAGTTTTAGAATACAACTCGGTTTTCTGTAGGCTTGTCTTGTGACAACGATGCGCCCTGGACACAAAGGCTTTTTCGGGTCAGGTGAATTAGTGCAGATTTGGCTCGGCTTAGTAAAGCAATCAGAATAATTGCAAAAGAGTAGTAGGGAGAGTTGAATGTTATAGGTAAAAATTCGTCACATCTAGGCTAACTCAGACAGCCGTCACACGCCCGGAAAAGCAC